GGACCCTGCCCAGACAGCGTCAGAGGCTGATATGGATCAGCAGTGCTATCCTGCGGGACACAGCGTGCCACAGCTCCACTCTGAAGCTGCAGGGAGAAGGGTCCCCACCTCTGCTTCCACTTGGGGCCTCCGTGACCACCCAGGGCTGCTCCATCATCATTAGAACCTGCGAGACATCTCGCGAGCAGCAGAGATGGTGTCAGCATGTTGCCTCTGTCCTGCGAGCCTGGCAGGAGCCCCCTGCAAAGCTCTGCAGCTGGCAGCAGGCACTTTGGTTAGTCAAATTACCATCCCCACAGCCACTTTCTTTTGGGGAAAGTTGCTCAGGTGAAACTTTGGTAACTGAGTTTTCTTACAAACTATGTGTATTGTCATTTTAGCCTTTCACTTTTATTTTGTGACTATTGTTTACCTAAACATCCTGCCTCAGAGGGCAGGAAACAACTTTCTTTTTAGCACTGTTACAAACCTTCGTCCCAAGGAAAGCAAGATTTCTGGGATCCAGATTCTGATGATTCCATTTCTCAAAAATCCATCACAGTTGCAGCTACTGTGATAAATACAAGACCAATTAGATTTTTTAAAAAAAGAGGGGGGGGCTATTTACATCAGAAAGTTTTAAAATACATTTAAAGCATGTTCTACTGTTTCATATCCAACTATTTTTGAATTTGTAACAATTTAAGTCTCAAGCTTAAGTGACTCACTACACTTCAAAACTCAGCAGACTCAGGAATTTAAATAGCAGACATTGTTTTAGGTCAAATGTGAAAGATAGTGCTAAATTAAATACAGAGTGCATGTCTGCAACTATTTGGCATATCTATGCTCAACAGGTTGGCTGCCCCTTCCATAGCACACCACTGTGCACCTCAGCTGCTCCTCTGCACAGTGTACATGCTCATCTTCCTTGCCTGTATTGATCCATGCCACTACTCAATCAGGCAGATGCAATTCCTCTGATGCTGGAGCTCTCTGAGTGCATGGACTTCTCATTCCCACTGTTTATTTTCTAGGCTGCACCCTTCAGACTTGTAATTCTTAAAGTTACCCTATCCTGATGTTTATCAGGTAAAGGAAAATTATTTTCCCTAAATTATCCTGACCCTGTGAAATGACATGTGACTTAGTGTCTGTTAATTAAACTGGTAACATACAGCAACCTTGTTCATTAATAACTAATGATGTCTATTAAATTGTTCCGACAGTGTGACTGCAGTGTGTGTGTGTGCATGCATGTGCACACGTGGAGGACTTAACATACACAGACTATAAATTTTCTTTAAAAAAAATTTATTCCTCATGAAGAAAGGAATAAACTCCCCACCCATCTTTGTAGGAGCTAACATAGCATTGGGTTGCTGCATTCAACCCTCTACATATAGATCACAGTGAAATTATGATGACTAACAGGAAAGTCACACACACCCAGTCATAAAGCATGGAATTTCCCCCCAGATACTCATAAATCCATAGAGGCTGCTCCATTTTAAAGGGCAAAACACACATACGGTATCGGAAAAAAAAAAAAAGGGATAAACCACAGAATTTTCATAGGATATCTTCCTATGGGTTTCCTCATGAAACTTCCATATGTCCTGATTACAAGACGTACAAAAATATCTAGAAAGCTGAATTAATTGTGCATAAAGATGGAAAAAAAATTAAGACACCTTCTAGTCCATTAAAAAACCCCAAAATCTTCTCAAATGGAATGTTTCTGACACAGCTGTGTTGAGTATCACTCACCTATCCCAGATTAAGGGTAGGTACAGCTTCAGGTGTACCATGCAGGCATTTATCCAGGTACCAAGAAAAAATTTTGACACTATTGAATTCCGTGGAGAGAGAGAAAGACCACGGAGCCCAGAATAAGGCAAATACTTGCACAGGCAAGAAATCCAAGAGAAGTTTCTGAACATTCATTCAATATTAATAAAATCAAGAAAAAGATGGAAGTCTATCCCCAAAGACATCAATATGGAAAATGCAATTCCAGCTTTAAAATGTTGCTTCCCTTTTTCTAAAAATATTTGTAATTGTGTAGAAAACTTCAAGACAGATACAATTTACATCTGCAAATGACCACAACTCTTTGAGGAACCTATAGGTTATGCATTCGATAAGTATCTGAAGTAGTAATGGTTCTGTTTAGCATTTGTATGTCCAGTTCAAGACAGTAATTTCACTGTAACCGAAACCAGAAGATGCTTAAGTCTGTTGTGGTTGGTAAACAAACAAGATCACAAACGATGCAACAATTCATACATTGAGTTTGCTTGCTTGCTTCTAAGAACTCTGGTCTTAGCTGAGCCCCTGCCATTTTCTGTCTAGGCATTGTTTCTGGAAAAAATACGGGGGAATTTACTCTTTTGAAAGAGTTAACTGGCTTTCTGTCAACCTACTGCTGTACAACCTACAGTATGTTTTCTTTGGTTGGGAATTGTCACTGTCTAGATCTCCACTGAAATATTTACTAAGTGTGTGGTGCAGTCCATAAGGCTGTGCTGATTAACTGATGTAGTGTTAGATACAGTTACAGAGATTAGACTATCAGATACACTGGGAAAAGATTGCACTCTAAAGGGCCCTGACTGAAAGAAAGAAAAAGATCAAAACATCCACAAAATCACTTCTTCATAGCTGCTGGAATCCAGGCAATCCTACTTGTACTTCTAATTCAGGACTCTAGGTGGAAGAATTATTTAAGTAGGTGCAGTGAAGCATATGCAGGTTTGCCTGCACCCTGGCAGGAAGGACAAGATTCTCACTGCAGCTGAAAAGCAGAACACCAAAGGGTTTATACAGCACCACAATGCACTCCCTTACTGTGCATTTTTACAATTTGCTTCTTCCAGGAGCCACTCAATTCCATTTAGCAATCCGTCTAAAGTGGCAGCTACAGTGTCCTGCACCTGTGAAAATAAAAAAAGCTAATGCATTAGAGATAACAGGTAATAGGAAAAGTATTTTAACATCACCCTGTGTCTGTCCACAAAGTCAGAAATAGTCATTGAACCTAAATTTCTATCACTGGTTTAGAGGTCCCTTAGACCAAAAAAAGGTCTCTTAAGAGTACGAGAAAAAAAGAACCCACTAAGACCAATTTGGAAAGCTTTCACTCTTGGTACTAAGGTGAATTTTATCTCAATCATTCCATCAGCTATTATGGAACCTTATACTTCCTTTGTGGATGAGAATCTACTTGCAAATTCTTCTCATAAAAGCAAAAATGCTGCTAGCTTTTGATGTCTATGCATAGTATTGATACTCAGATTTTTTTTAACATGTTATCAAATGGCTGTTATAAATGGTATGCTGTTTTAAAAGCCTGTGAACATTTTCCTAATGAAAAGAAAGAAATTATCTCAAATCAGAATTCTGTTTTTTCTTATCAAGTATTACTCTCCACCCACACAACATGAGCAAAAATTACGTGTGGCTGAACCATGCTGATATATACTGTGCTGGACAAACATAAAAGAGCAGGTTCAGGACCTCACATGCTAGGTGACAAACTGATCTGTGAAAAACTCAAGACATCGTGTCAAGCAAAGGACAGTTAAGAGTCTCAAAAATGGCCCAAAAATCTATCTTGTGTGAAAGACCTGGATTGTAACTCACAAAATTTAGATTTCAGTTAACTGAAGCTTCCTTACACCCTTCAAGACCAGCATTTGTCCCTCCTTGCATTCAGGCTCTACCTGAAGTCTCCTGTGTGTTCCTCGGCAAGGCACTTAGTTCCCATGTTCAGACAGGCTAATGACTCATCTTAGAGGACCAGAGAAACTAAATCCTTCACCTGAGTGAAGAGCTCATGTGCTAGTATGGAAAGCTGCGCGCTTGCCTGCGTAGGTACAGTTGAGAAACTACTGTAAGCCTAAATTAAATTTAAACCACAGAGAAACAGAAAATAAAGGTTTAAAAGCAACTACCATCCAGGGCTGATGTAGCAGATTTAGTTGCAACTGATGTGCCATGTAAACACAGGGAATTCTTTTCACCCCACTGTGAGAGATGCAGGACAAAATTAGCAGAGGTCTGTTCGGCGGCCCAAGGGTTGGATCAATCATTGCCAGAACACGAGCCAGTTCCTCCTGCCGACTGTGCTCTAAGAAACAATTTTTTATAAATCAGTCTTTAATATGTGCAAATCCAAGGAGGCTTTTTTGGGGTGGTGTGTTGGTTTTTTGGAGGGCTATTTGTTTGCTTTTGGTTTTACTTTTCAAATATTGATGATTTCAGAAGTGAGGAAACAGAGGGCTGGAAGGGCCAAATGATGTAGTTCTGTTTATCACAAGACCAATTCATCTGCACTCATGCTGCACACATGTCACACTAAGATGTTACTGAAAGAACTCCATGGATTCTACAGGCAGCTTATTCCAGTCCTTAACATCAGTGTTTTCTGAGTACTTCACAGAGATCAAAATAGCAATGAGCCATTCATTAATACTCACACACTACACAGTCAGCAGCTTTTCCCTACTGAATGTACTTTTCTCCTTAGTATATCCCTTCACATTTTTTTATCTACTTCTTTCCTGAGCTAGCCCTTTCCCTCCATTGAAAGTTGATGAATGTAAAGGCAATTACTGTAACAATTGCTTGGATTATCCTCTTATAGGACTATCCTGATTTAGACTAACTGCATTTTTTACTGCAGTTTTTCTGGTGAAGGTTCTGTTTCCAGGCTGTTGCACCACAAACAATGTATTTCAGGGTTCTCCTACAGGTGCAAAAGGTTTTTCTTTTGTTGTTTTCTAATGCAGATAATTTCCCATATGTAATTTAGATAGCCCCATATCAGCATGTGCCATAAACAAAAGATGGGGCCATAACCCCTCACAGGCTCATGAGAGAGTGTCTGGGATAGGAGACCTCTTCAACAGGATAAGCCATGTAGCAACAGCACTAATAAAGCAGATTTTTAAAGGATCAGAACACGGAATTTGATGTATTGCATATAATTTGCAATTTTTTTCACATTCCGATTGTTCAGAAAATATGAATAAATAAAATAAAGAAAACCCCTTACTTTTATGAGCTTCTGCATTAGCAACATAAATGAATCCATCGACGACTTCGCACACTTTCTTCACTTGATCTATTACACTGTAGTGCACAGCTTGCTGATTCCCTTCTGTGCTGTTCTCTTGGTAAAACATCTTATTCACAGCAACAGCTTGCTCTGCCCTTGCTCTCCTCCTTTCCACGCTGAAAGGAATTTCAGTATTTCAGTAGTCAGGTTAATTGAGAATGCAAAAACTCGATCTCGAGAGTGGCACAAGAGAGGGACAGCAGAATGGTTTGAAGCAGCAAAACCATTCTGCCCCCTCCCAACCTCCTTTCTTTCTAGTGTACATACACAGACGGTTAGCAATCCACAACATGCATATGAAAACACAACCCAGGACGAGTTTATAGAGTGTTTCAAAAGGGAATCAACCAAGGCATGAAGGGGGATTGAAGCACTGTAATGTACCTGTCATACACATTCAGTATGTATAAGGTTTGGAAAAGGTTTACTACTTCCACGTGAAAACTTAGCAGTTGAAAAAAGAAAAGAGAAGCAAAGACATGCATTGAAGTTTCAATGTGTAAGGGACATCCATGCACATGAATGTGTGCATAACAGTCATGTGTCAAAAATACGAGGCAAGGTACGACAAACTGTACTTTTTACTTGGTGGAGAACAAATCTTACCTTGTGGTTGAATACAGTGTCAGAATATTGAATTTTTGATTGTTATTATACTGAAAACTGACTCCTGATCCAATTCCTACAGGGAAAAAATTATTATATAAGATTAAAACTATTTGGCTACTGAACACAATTAAGTGGAAGTTTTAAAATTCCAGTGGTGCATCAAATGGATATGTTCAAGCCTAGATGTTGCTGCCAGGGGTAGCAGATTTACTATTTCACAATTAAATTTTATACATGCTTTAATTGCTCAGACTATTTAACAAAAGTCAATAGTATTAAAAGGAAATAATGAGGCATTTCCATATTTATGATAATTAGACTTGAACCGACAAATCTAAACTAGAAAGGAGTCAGACCTGTGTTTATTTGCTCAAACTGGCATAGCAAAAGCTCTAGTGTGTTTACAACAGGCAGCATTGAAAAGGATGTAAGAGAGAAAAAAAGTAACAACACTAAAAAATAATTTTCACACTTTCTATAAATACAATTTAATTATTTTGATGTGCTAAAATAAACATCAGTTAAAATGGAACACGTTTTTGACTCTGGTTTGGACTGAAGTGAAATTACAGACATTCAAAGCTATTCTCTTAAACATGAAAAAATCCTTCACCTGCTCCTGTAACTCTTCTAAATGAAATTTACACCATTTGACATCAGAATATTGAATCATATAAAGGATCGGTCTTGAGTTCCTGTGTAGAAACACAGATATGTGTTTTAGCCACATACTGCAAGCAGTACCTAAAAGAAAGTTCTGTCTGCATTTATCCATTACGACAGCAGGTGTAACATGGAATTTGGGATCAAAATAGAAGTGCAAGGAGCAAAGTGTTCCATCTGATCATTTGTGCAAATTTAGTCATGAATTCACTGCAGCTATTAGTTTGCCTCACATGTTCATTGCATTTATCCATCTGAATGAATGCACAGAGACAACGGTTTGTTCTTACCATGATACTATTGAGTTTCAAGGGGACAAAACCGCATCCCTTTTCTCCATTTCTCCCCCCATGTTTTTTTGTGCTCTATCTGTTAAAAAAACATAAAGGCCAAAAGCCCAAACCACCATTACCATGAATTTGTCTTTGAGGTAGGCCAGTTACCAGCAGAATTTCTGGGCATGTCATCATCTTTTGCACTAAAGAGTTGTCCAGCTCTTCCAAACCCGGTCCAAACATAGCAAAGCGAGGTTCTGCCTGAGTGACCAGTGAGTGCAAAAAAGAAGTCACAGACCCATACCGGGGACGGCTCGATTTCAAACTTCTTCTGCCCTGAGGACAGCTCTTTTTGTATCTGTGTAAAATAGACGCAACTAGAAATTAAACACAAAATACAAAAGAGGTATTAATCAAACAACATGAACTGATTTAGGTCCCACACTTCTCACGCTTTGCTATTGGTACAACTCAGAGGTCAAAAATGATGAAGTTCCAAACTGATGGTTTCAAGCACCAGTACAGAGCAGCACCAGTTCTTTTGAAGTTGAAATACTGACTTTTTGGACTTTAGTATGCTTCTGTCTATAGAACTTTCAGTTTATTTAAAAAATATAAAGTAACATAGAATTACAAATTCTCCCACCCTTGCTGAACACACAATATAGGTAAAAAACATCAAAGCAAGTGAGTCACATAAAAAGTAAAATTAAAAAAAATGAGACTTGTGAGTGCATTTCAAACCTTAATTAGATTGCTTTTGTGTTTGAAACAGGTAACCACCTGAAAAGGACCATTTCCCTTGTAGGTACAGAGCATGCATGCTGTGAGAGGAGACAAGTGTTGTCTGCAAGCTCATGTGCTCATCTGGTGTGGAAGCTACAAGGACATGAAAAAACTTTGGCAATTAAAGGAAACAATAACAGTCAGATAGACATCCTGGAGCAGCAGCTTCAGTCTGCTCCTCCAGTCATGGCAGAATGCTGCTGCACAAATCACTTCAAGGAAACATCAAATATGTGCTTCTCTATACCCACACTGAGGTGCTTCAGTGGAGATCAGGAAACTGTTAAGTGCACACAGGCACAATGGAAATCAGTAACAGGTGGTTTCCAATAGGTCATGCTCTGAAGTATTCAGACCTAAGAAGATTTAAATCTGATTTCAAAATCAGTACATATTTAGCACTTAAAATTCTGGGTGCATCATTCCCATGTCTAAGCTGGGGATAAAGGGCACACAGAGACTGCAGAAGTTAGTGCATTTAATGTGAAGGGACATGTTAAGCACCACCTTTGGAAAATGTAACTGCAAGTAAATAAAAACCTCCAAACAAACCCACAAACCACTACTGCAAATTCATGAATGGAATTGAGAAAGTTTGAAAATCCACAAATTAATCTCCTTCTTTTAAGAGTTCTTCTCAGTCACCCAAACACATTATGTGTATTGCTATGCTTTCCAACTATACTATCTAAAACCAGTCTTTGTCTTACAGCCTCTGACAACCAGAGCTAAAGCAATACTAGTTACCCTGTGCACATTCAAACTCCCTTTTGTTTCCCCCCAGGTCTTCCCTGTAAGATGAAAAAGAAGATTCATTCCACTTGCTGTAGTTCGAAGGCTTCTTAGTACTTTTATCGAAATGAATTATTTGCCATTGTACTGAGAGCAAAGAGCACATTTTTATCTGCATCAGCAGTATGCAGAGCTTTTGAGCTGACTGCAGTTCTCTGGCATAGCAGACATGCAGTTTACAAAAAGCTTTGTTTTTTTATAAACCTTAGCTTTGTCTTTTTTTTTTAATCAGCGTTTTACTTTCTTGAGTTCCAAACGGAAAGAGCTGACCAGACCATCAAACAACGGGAAATTTTATTTCCAAAATAAACAGTGGTTTTGAGACATCAAAATTTAAAGAGCAGCTTAAGCAGAGGTTTCATGCTGTAAACACAAAACATGTCTGTGGGCTGAGTATTACTGCTGTAGGGA